GCTCAGAAGGAAAGAACTGGGATGGGAGAAAGAAGAAAAGAAAGAGGGAAAAAAGATAAGACAATTGTACTACTAACTTCTATTAGTTAATTGAAAGCAGCAGTTAGTGCTTATATGATCTGATCAATTTTGCCTGCCTGGTGATCTGAGCAACTCCTTTGAAGATAACAATATGCAATATAACAACTATTGTTAATCTCCTATCTTCTTGTTTTGAAGTTCTGTATTGCTTTTATTGTTTTTTATTCTACTTAAAATTAAAAGTAAATTAATAAAGTCTACAAGTGTTGAGCTGCCTCCATTCCATACAGCTTTTATTTTCCGTACTTAGGAATCTTTTTACTTGGACATATGTTTGGAATTGGCACATTTATCCTTTATTGTTATAAAATGCATTTTATCACTAGCAACAATTTTTAAAATCTATCAAATTCTCTCTTAACTGATATTAATACAGCCATCTCAGCTCTCCTTTGGTTATTATTTGAGTATTACAGCATTTTCCAACCTTCTATGTTCAATCTATATGTGTCTCTGAACCTAAACGTCTCTGGTGGACATCACGCTGTTAGATAACGCTATTCTATGTCTCTTTTTATAGGCAACTTTTAATTAGAATGTTTAATCCATTTACATTTAAAGTAATTACTGACAACACAGATTTGTTGTTCACATTGCTACTTATTTCTATGCCTTTTGCCTTGTTTTATTAACCTGCTACTATCTTCTATTGTTTTAAAAAGATTTTCTACCATGCTACTTCAATTCCTTGTCATATCTTTTTATTTTCATAGTTTTCTTAGTAGTTAGTTCAGTAATTACCACTAACATCTTAATTTATAAATACTTCTTCAAGTTATTAACCAACTGCTGGAAAATGCATCAAATTTTCTTCAGTGGATAAAAAAACTCCAAGCTTAAGAAAAATTCCAACCTTTCTCTTCCTTCGTACTGCTATTCTCACACAAATCATATCTATGTATTCTAATCAACACAGACTTATGATTATTATTTTATATGATTGAATTAATAGAAAAAAATTGTTAGAAGCCAAAAACACAGTTACACTGTTTTGGAGATTTTTAACACCTTTCAACAGTGTAAGTTAGCATATAAAACCTTTAATAACCTTATTTTTCATTTCAGTCATACTTTTTCAAGTCATGACTTCTATTTATTATTATTTATAATTGTTACTACTTTGTTGATATTGTTGATTTGACGGGACATTTTTCTCATACTTTCATTTAGTTCTTAGACATGGTTTTCTTCAATTCTTTGAACATATTTGGAACATCTAAAGCCTTTGTTAAGTTAAGGCTTCTTCACAGATGTATCTGACCATAATCTCTCATTTTCTTCCAACTCTCCAGACTCTGTGGTGCACGGGACATGCTAAATACTGAAAAGTGGCCACTCTATCTTCCCTTCTCGGAGTCTGTTGTTGTCTATTGTACGTTGTCCACTTGCTTAGTTCATTTTTAAAACTATCTTTTAAAGGCTGGATTCTTTGCCATGTGTGGGCACTGAAGAGTCTATGAGGCTGATTAAGTAAGCAACTAATGATTAGACAGAGATTTCTGTGAATGCCTAGAACAGTGGTGGCAAAGTGAAGGCTCCTGTGCAGTTTTAAAAACAGAAGATATTAATGTATGAGTTGTTTTTTTCCTAAACAAAAAACCTGAATATTCAGGTTTAATTGCAGTGCTAGCACTTTGCAATAAATAAGTGGGCGTGGGGGTTGGGGTACTGATCTCTTAAGCGGCTCCCCATCGCTGGCTTAGAACCAGGAAGTCTCCCAGTCTTTGCCTAGGGGTCTGTGTACATGGTAGGACACATGTGCAACCCCAGCCGGGACACACTCCTCCACCTTAGCTTTCCCTTCTGGTCACAAACAGCATCATGGCCATCAAGGAGCAAGAGCTTCAGCCTTTCCCTGAGCAGTCATATAACCCGAGGCATGTTTAAATCTTTACAAATAAAAGATTGCTGTCCTAGATTTCCAAAAATGTGCCAGAGTTTTTGTTTGTTGGTGTGTTTGGGGTTTTTTTGTTTGTTTGTTTTTGGTTTTGTTTTGTTTTGTTTTTATAGCCCATTTCTGGACATCTAATTTCCCAGGTTTTCATTTTAAACTTTTTGGTAAGTTTATGATTTGATCCAGTTTTTTTTTTTAATTTTTAATTTTTTATTTAGTACAGGGTCTACAGGGTCTCACTGTATAGATCAGACGTGTAGTGATTCTCCTGTTTTCAGCCTCCCAAGTGCTAGGATTACAGATGTGCACCACCATGCCCAGTCTCATTCCCTGTCTTACCGTGTGCTGGAGGCAGGGCTGGCATGGTGTGCTAGGGATTGAATCCCAGTCCTTGCATCTGCTAAGTAGGTGCTTTAGTCCGCTGAACTACCTAGCTGGCCCTTTGATCCAGTTTTTAACCCACTGCCTCCAAGAGTTATGAAGATGTTCAACTACCTATAATTTTAATCCAGGGCAAGGGCTTTTTCACCATGTACCCCCTAAGTGGGCTCTACTAAGGACAGCCTCATTAGTCCTTGTTCTGGGAGGCCACCGGTCAAGGGCCGCTCTCTAGGGATGGTGCTGATAGGGAGCTCCAACTTGTCCTGCTCCCCTCAGTGGCTGTCAGGCCAGTGGTCTCACCGCACTTGTGACTTGGTGGGATTTAAAGGCTGCTGCAGAGGTGGAGAAGAAAAGCAGTCACGGGCAAGCCCCAGTGCCACACAGCTTGCTGTTCTTTCCAATATTCAGTTGTTTTTCTTTAATAACATGCCCCAGATTGCTGTCAGCCTGAAATAATTCTTGATTATGAAAAACTTAAATCTGACAATTTTTTTCTGGTCTTTTGGTTCCTCTCATGGAGGACAGAATTTTGAAACGTCCTTACTTCTGACGTCTTTGTTACCCCACTAGTGCTCTGTGATTCTAACTTGCATTTTCCGAATGACTAATGATGCTGATCAGATTTCGTGTGCTTATTTTCTGTTTACATATTTTCCTAGATGAAGTATATG